GTAACAGGATTGAAATTCAGAAATTTCTTGTGTTTTTATTCTAACAAACATTTTTCGTCAGTTAAATTAAAAGTAAATAGAAGAAATCAAAGCCATGTGAGTTTTGACGATTACACGTTGCGACGTAAAGAATTCTTTATTTTAAAATTAAAATAGTCCTTTTTTTCTGAGTATTTATTCAATAATAACCGATAGAGTAAGATTTTATTGTTTCCAACTAATAGTGATCAAAAATTCTATTTGTATTGTTTTATATTATATAATTAAATTCATGTCGTTATTTTTTGATTCTTTATAATCATCAAAATCGTCATGATTTTCATGACATAAGTACCTTCGTTATAAATCTTTCTCATCAACGATGTCATGAATATTAGTACTGCCTTTTAAATAAAAAATTTCAAACGATTTTCTAATCGATTCCGCTGATCTGCAAATATACTAATGTCACTGATATATTAATATTAGTAATCATTCATAAATTGCTATTCATTCGAAATGTGCAATTTATATAGAAAATAACATAGCAAGTTGATGCGCTTTGTTTGTCAAGAGGTAATATTGTTTTTTTTACAAACTGTCACTTTATTCTAATATATCTCATTATGAATTATTTCTGCTATTTGATTTTTAATCATATTTAAGCAGAATGTGAGTACTGATCAAGAATACATTAATATCTACATCCATCTATGCGTTGCCAAAGGAAAAGATGTAATAGACGTATAGATTCTTGTTGATTCGTTTACTATGAGATTTCAATTATAATTACCAAATTCAATTGATGAGCTGCAAAAGTCTGTGAGTGTGAAGATTGATAAAGATTAACGCTTACAAATAAAATATATTTAGAGATAAAAATAAAAGTTTTGTATTGATCATTATAAGGTGATGTTTTAAAAATGATTAAATTTAAACATATGTATAAATTCTTGTCGATAGGTTTTTGATGAAATTATATAAAGAAATAAGGATAAAAAATAAATATTTTGTTGCCAAAGAGTAAAAATAATTCGTAATTGATTCATAAAAACTGTATTCATTGATGGAATAAATGTTACTAATGTATAACCAACACCAGCCGGTGTAGAAAAAATAATATATGCACTCACTTGTATAATTAACATTCGAGTCAATTGATTTTCTACACGACGACGATTTTGTTGTTTGATATTTGAGATGAATGGAGCAATACGATGTGTTTGATTTTGAATATTACGTATTATTAAGAAACCAAATATAAGCATAGCTAATGGTATAATAATATAAGAAAAAATGATTCGACTTGAAAGATAAATAATAGAAATTGTTGATGAATATGAAATACATTGATTTATATGAGAATTAAAATAATAGATAAAAACAATTGGAGATATATAGATAATGATCAATATGATAGTAAGAATTATAATTCGTCTTGCGATATGTACTTGACTCAAATTGCGCATTTTTACTGTTGATGAACTAGCAAAAAATCGATCCATTGAAGCAAATACTAACATAATTGAAATAAATAATGGTAATATATTTATCATAAATGTTTGTAATCGACATCCAAATGATGATGATGTGACAATAATTCCAAAACGTATACGAATAAACATCATGACAGGTATTTCACATGTATACAATATACTTGAGAAAGCAAACGCAAGAAAATATTGTGTACTAGAAGATAATCGAAGATTTCGACGACAAAGTACACAAATATTTATTATATTTGTCGTAATCGTTAATATTATTGTAATTGGATAAACATATATCGATGCTTTATTAATTTCAGCTTGTAGATTATACTGAATAGATGACGACGAGGTATTCATCACTTCAATTTTGTTAGAATGTTACGGGAATATAACTGCACTACATCAGAGTTAATTAAAAATAGAATATGTTAAATTTTAATAAAATATAAAGTGAAAATATATCATTAATATCCTTTGTAATTCAACATGATCTACTTAATGTACAATAGAATATTAATTCTATAACTTGTTTTTAAACACAAACGTTTATTAATTATTTTGAGAGTACATCAGACTACAGCTTCTAGATACTACGATGTATAGAAAACACTAGCATCAGTTATTTCTACATAGAAAAATGTGCGTCTCTCTTTTCTTCTATAGAGTAAAACAGTGTAAGCTGTGGATATAGAAATACGTCAATGTATTCTATATGATATTAAAAAGTAGAGCAATAAATGAGATTTAGAATTTTACGAAAAATATATTACCTTGTCTTGAGAAAAACTTTGTGATCGTTCGATGTATGAGCAAATTTCTAAAGAACGTCTTTTAGAGTTATATACATAATTACAGGAACAGTATTTCTATGAAAACAGGTGATGTTTATATGCATCGTCGATGCTGAATTTGTTAAAATTACTAGACGACAACTACCTATTTATTATTCTGTTTGATATTGTTATATACTTACGAAACAGGAAATGAAGTTAATTAAAACTAAATAGTCAATTATCTTAAAAGATTTCTTTTTTTCTAACTATTTTCCAGAAAAATATGTCCGTCATCAAACAGTTAAAAAAATGTGTAAACTTTAATTGAATACAGCTTACTCTAAATACGAAAAATCCATTCTGTGCTTCTGAAAATTTTATTAAACAAAATGTAATACAAAACCCAAGATATGGATAAATCTATCGCGGTGTTCCTGAGATCGGCGGTTATAATAATATGAGCGATGAATGTAATCAAGATTATGACGGTGGATGATAGACATTTCTTTGTAATAATTTTCTCACCACATCGACTGTTACTTCCTAATGATTAATAAATCTTCCAGTTTATCGTTTCTATAATACTAAACAGAATGTAATATAAATATGCGCAGAGTTTTCTATATAAAACGAGAAGGAAGTCATTTAACACAAAGTAATGACAACAAAAAGAATATGAATTTTCTTTCATTCTGGAGGGTGAGTATGAGTATGAAATGAATTTAATATCCACGTCATCAATGAAGTTTTAATTTTCTATTTTTTTTCTCAATTTACATGGAGCACCGATATATACCTACGTTTAGAAATTATAATTAAAGGAAAAAAAACCCTTTTTCTATTTCTCAATATGTAATGGTGAATACCTGGGGACTATTTTTTCATTTATTTTCGAATCGATACTCCACAGTCAGTTTTTTGTTTATATTCGAATGCAAATGAGGCAACTCATGACCCTTACATCTTGAAGATTAGTACTTGTGAATATATTACGGTTTGATTGATGAGAGGAACAATATCGATACAAATTATATTTATATTCATACATCCCTCCAATTCGTTAAGAAAAATTTCTATTTCTATTTCATTGTTTTTAAAAATTAAAACAAAAAAAAATATCTTTTATTCTTTTCATTTTATTTCTTTTCAAATCAAATATTTTCAATTTAAAAGGCAACTCAGTATTTTTGAACTTGAAGATTGTTTCGATGAGTGACATAAAGATTTCCTTCAACATCAAATGATGATCCAGTAGGATGATTGAATTGCTTTGAGGGTGTGGATGAGGATGCTCGACCTGTGATTAATACAATATTCACATCCACATCCACACCCTCAAGAGTTGATTTACTTGATTTCTAAACTCATTTCTTCTAGTAACAATTATTCCATTTTGCTTCCATTTAGAATTGGTTTTATCTAGAATAGATCAAATTTATCATTACACACATCTATCATTCATCGTTCTACTCACTTATCATTGCCACTGGATAACATTGAGGAAGATCATGCCATCGAGGATGTGGAACACAGATCGTATTTGATTGAGGACATGAATTGTCTGAAGAATTGCACCGTAAAAGACGAGAACATGTTGGCCAAAGAAAACCACAAACACCTGTCTCATCATTGATACCTATCCTATGGAAACAACCACAAGCACTATTTGTTGAACATTCACCATATTGAGCAATGCTCTCACATATGTGAATGTTAAATTTGACTATAAAAGTGATAAACTAATTAAAAAAATGTATAAAATAGAATAGAAAGCAAACCTGTGGGACTAAAATAAAAAAATCGATGAAAATATTAAGAAAATGAATGATAAAAATCAATATTATTTACCTGAAACTAGTGACATCAATATAGCAGTATATCCTGACTCTACTCATAGTTAAGTCTAAACTCAAATGATTTTGTTGAAAATTGTGTGCTTTTATTTCTAAAATATAGATATAATATCTTAAGTCAATTTAATTGAAATATAACAGATGCATTTATTCACATACCGATAATTGGAAATTTAATATTCTCTCCATTACTTCTAATCTATTCTCTGATAAATACAAAAAAAAATGTAATTAAAAAAGGATAAAGCACCAAGTGATATCTTTAAGAGGATCGCCCACTTCTTTTAGGTTTTTTTTATTTTTTTTCTAAGTTGCAAAAACCTACGACACTGAAAAAAATGAATATTTTTCTTTTGTTTATATAATGTTTTTTGGGAGATTATTGATGGCTCTAAGCCCATTGATGAGGACGATAGTTAATTAATTATCTCTGTCTTGTACGACAATATTCTTGTTGTTTTATCAAACTTATTTTATATTCTCAAATAGGAGATCTTTTGATCATTTTTAATTTCTATTCAATTTCTCTAGAAAGAAAAATAATTCAATAAAAAAATAAAACTAAGGACTTCTGAATGGTATTCATGAAAATTACTAAATTTCATCGGAAGATTGACAAATCTCATCTAATCATCAAAACAAATCCAAATTCACTAAAGTTTTGATAATTATTTAATTTTATCTTTACTTCAAAATGTATCCAGACGCATCTATATTTGTTCAAAGAATAAAACACATTTCAGTTCGACTACGTTAAACGCGCTTGAGTACATCTGTAAATTGCGTTTTATATTTATATGAGAAGTAAAGAAAACGTGTGTAAAGGACATAAATGGAATGTTCAAACCAGTAACATAGAATAAATTTTCTCGTCATTGTATTTGACAGTCTCGAATTAGAAAATAACTCTTCATATAAGTAAACCATCATTCATCGGATGTAATAATTTAGCAAAAACTAAATTGTTCATGTCATTGTTGGTGTGACTACATGTGATCGTTGACGTATCCTTTTCATAATTGATGTTCGAACTGGTTCCGTAAATTTAAATAAAGCAATCATAACAAATACTAATGATGCCTCCGCAAATGTGAGAGCAATACGAAAACTATATTTTGGTGTTAAAATAAAAAATCCCATAAAAACAAATATTGTATAAGGTACACTAACTATTAATAGAATTGATATAAGTATAACTATTCGATAAACCATTTTTAATTCTCTTTGTGCACGTAATAATGTATTTACTAATGTAACACGTTTATTCATTTCTCTAACATATCGAATTAATTTCAAATAAATAAACATAATACCGCTTATTGGTATTATATAAATATAAACTATATTATAGATTGCTACGATAGAAAGATGAAATGGCATTTGACATACTTGATCATCAATAAGATATTTTATTTCATTAGTAACTATAACGGGACATGCAAAAATAAAAGCAAATATCCATATTAAAATAATGAGAAAAAATTGAATTTTTATTGATCGCCAAAATAAACGAGTCGGATAAATAACTGTTATATAACTATAAATTGATTGTAATAAATAAGAATAATATAATCCAAAAAAAGTTACATAAGTCATATAGCCACGAAAAATACAAAATAAATCTTGATAATAAATTTGTTTAAGATCATTATGAAAAGTAATAATTGTCGCCCAGAATAAAATAATCGTTAATAAAAAACTAGCAAAACACGAATGAGCAACAAGTATAAGAGGAACTGTGTGACATGTTTTATCGGTTAAAACAATAAAGAAAAATAATAAAGACATGAGAATGGCTAGAAAAAGACATGTAAGTAATAGAATATCGATAGGAATAAACCATGATTGATTAATTATGATTGAAGTATTTGAATCTTGTAAGAGAGAAACTGGCAAAGTTGCTGTGTTCATCTATGAAATGATGAAAAAAAAATATAATGAGGAACTATCGGTGTGAAAGAGTATTATACTAATGAATATCCATTAATAGTAACAATTTACTAATAAATTTTATATGGTAGGATTATTTTTTCTTTTTAAAAATTAAAAACTGTTATAGTTTGGAGATGACATATAGTCACGAACAGACTTTTTATGTTCCTGAATAATATAAACCTATTATTATCTGCAAGTGTAAATTATTTTTTCCATGTACTTATAGAGCATTGCGGATTATTAAAGACGGATATGAGATGATTATAATATTGACGTGCATCCTCATTAATTCATTGTTACTCATCACGTCATAAAGATGTAAATGTATCAGTTTTAAGTTAAATTGTTAGATTTGATGTACCATTACATTACATAACATGCTTTCACTTTTGAAGAAAACTAAAAAAAATAGAAATTCAATATTTTAATTTTTCTAAGAAAGTTTTACTTTAAATTCTTCTCGATTCTCCTCGTCGCGCATGTAATTAATTCATATATATAGACTTATGTTCCTTTTCTTAATTTACTCAAGTGAACTTGTTTTTCAATTAGTGAGTAGATATCAGTTTTTAAATAACTCTCTTATCCTCTGAAAGTCAAATCCAATTTTATAATAGGATTTGAGAAAATTGAGAAAGATCAATTAATTTAAAAACAGAACAATGTCACTTGACTTATCTTGTTCATACAATTATCTACTGAAAAGTAATGAGTAAAATTAAAATACTCTTAAGCGAAAAGAAAAAATCAATGCTTGCTTATAAAAGCTATCTTTATACGGTCGAACGTAAAAAACATTTCTCATGAATAAAATTATTTATCGTTTATAATGAATTGGTATTCTATTAATAAAAATTTGTCTTACACAAATATCAATCTTGTTATAATTAATTACATATGCGACGAATTGTCCGTCCACGTTTTTCACAACCCCTGCTCGAAAAATAATTAGTACCTTTAAATAAATAGCTGTTCATGAATATACATATATAAATACATCAAAAGTTATTTAACTAGCTAGAAGATGTTTATAAAAGGATGATATATAAAAAAGTATCTGTTTTAAGAATGACTCATTTGGGGCAAGTAATAATAATATACTATATTAAATCAGCAAGATATATGCGTTTTGAATTTTTGTTTACAGTCAACAACGATTTAAATAGCGCTATACAAGTTTAAGTAGTGCTGCCGATTTAATTAATTATGCATAAGAAGATAATTAGAAAATGAAATAGCTAAAAAATGTATTAAATAGTGATAACGATCAAATACCTAATGAGCAGAAGTCTAATACATAATTTTCTTTGCTATTTTTCAGAGATTGTTTATCTAACAAAAATTGTATCTCTTTTGAGAATGAACCATTTCTTTAGTTACAATGAATATTTCTTCAACAAGTCGTTTTTCATTTTCAGCACGTACTCGAGCTTCGTCTGTAAACTGAACATAAAATATAAAATATAAAATAAAATAGGCAGTGTGGCCGAGTGGTCTAAGGCGCTGGTTTTAGGCACCAGTCGTAACTGGCGTGGGTTCGAATCCCACCACTGTCATTATAAAATGAAGCGAAAACGGTTTGCTTCTCTTTTTTTTCTTCTTTCCTACTTTCTTTTTTTTCGATACGTGATTCTAACAGTAAACATATTTTGAGACATTGACAAACGATAAAATATGGAAAAAAAAGATTTTTCTGTTATATTGAAAGTTTCATTTCTTTAAATCTCATATCACCACACAGTATCCAAGCGAACGCCAAAACAGCTATATTTTACCCAAGTTTCACGTAGTCGTATGTTCATTTTTGCACTTCTAGAATCTAGATATACATCAAAGAATACCAGTCTACACCAATCGCCGGTCTTGTCCCATTCGTTTCAGGTTCTTGTTTTTCTTGATTTTCAGACAAGATTCTTTTCTAATGCTTGTTTTTCTTCTTTGAATTCTAGTCTAATTCCTATCCTTCTTGATTTTCTTGTCTGTTTCTGGTCATATTAAAAAAGCCTTTTCTAGGTTATTACTATATCATTTTCATTTCATTTTATTATAAGTTGTCCACACGATGTACAAAAAAATGTAAAAGAATAAAACAATATTTCTAAATTTCACATATTTTTGAAGTAGCTTCAATTTTTAATACAATAAAAAACAATAAAAAACACTTAATTTTTTCCAATTTCATTATTGTCGTGAGCATCTGGTATTTGTTGGGTTGTTGTTGCTGCCGTGTTTCATTTACTTGTAATGAATTTTGTATTGTTTGACTATTTGCAAAAATAGTTGCTGGATGAAGTTCATGAACGTCTGCTAAATAACTTTTAAAACAATGAATATTCAAATATTAAAAGTAATCAACGTTTTAAATATATCTTACCTAGCAAAATATCAAATTCATCTGGTTGTAGATCGTTGAATGATGCTATATCATCATATGCGACACAAAGATAAGATATGAGTGAAAAAGAAGATATAAAGTCGACATTAAATTTTACCTACATGAAGAGGATAATTAAACAATAGTTTTATAAATGAATCGATATTTTCTTTGTCCATTATATGTAATACTTTTATCGATAGTGAAACAATCTAGAGATACGAATTTGAAAAAATATCGAAATGTGTTTAATAAGGATTGTTTTCTTGATATAAAATAAACTTTCACTACACATCCAATTAAAATAATAACTTACTAGATGTCGTTTAAACTAAATAAACGCTTTAAAAAAAGAAAATAATTTAAATGAATTTATACTATACTTAGCGAGTGAATAATGATTATGAATAAATTTACATTCAAATTAGGCTTTTATATATGTCAGAAACAAAGACCCTATCTCAGGTTGTTCATCTTAGAAAGCTAACAAGAATCTTGTCTAAAAATCAATAACCTGGAAAGAATAGGGCAAGATCAGCAACTGGTGATACTCGTCCATCACAGAGAATGAAAGAATATGAAAGAAAAGGATAATAATGACAAAAATAATCTGAGTACAAAATATTACATGATGTACGAAATAAGGATAAAAAAGATAAGGATAATATAGAATGAGAAGAAAAAGTAAGAAGGGAACAAATATCGTTATAATAAAGATGTCAAAATTATCAGTAGAATACATATATAAAATATATCTTTATAATAAACATATCAAAAATATCGTTAGAATATGAATATAAAATATATCGTTATAATAAAGATATCAAAATTATTCTAAATTTAACATTTGTTGAAAATTCTTTGAGGACGAATATGAGTTTTGGTACATTCTTTCATCTTCTTCTTTTTATTCTCAGTACTTTTCTTAATGTATATGAACTTTGACATGACATGATTAATGTGTTTTTCTATTACGCACATTTCTCTTCTACATACGATCAATGGATGACTCTTTTGTGTATTATATGATTAAATGTTTGCTCTTCTTCACGTGTTTGTCCTTAAATTCGGTACTTTTTTGATGACCATCTGACGATCATTTCTTCTAGTATATAAGGAACAATAAAAGCATGATTCTCAATATTCGAAATCAATACTTTATCTGACGATTCATTATTCAAATAATCTTTTCATATTATTTTTGTTACGATCGTAATTCTTGGGTAAGATTCATTTTTTGCTTGTTAACTATTGTATTCTTCCTATATAAAGATTTTCACTAAAATTCATTGATTATATATTGTGAAATAATCATCATTCGGAATAGTCTGATAATATGATACTTTTAAACTTTCTCTTCATTGAGTCACCGAACTCATTCGTCTTTTCGAATGTCAAAAGTTTTTATAATGGACATGATCATATAAGAAAAGATATTGATCCATCTTAAATCTTTCAAAGATATATCGACATCTTTTTTTTTATAGATTCCTACCCTTTTAGAGTATGACTTGAAAGAACTCTGTCGTGTCCGACAAAAACAAAATATCTATATTGAGAAAGAATTATTTATATGAAATATATTTCTTTTTTTCTTAGAATTTGGAATCTATACGCATTCGTTATCATTTGCATTGCTATTTAAATGTCTCGACTGGTATTATTTATTTTGTTGGTGTTCGTTCATTTGTGTAATTCACAATATCCACCATCTCCATTTGGCAAACCACAAGATATTTGTCCAACAGGAAATAATACACCATATACGGTTGATAATTGGGTAGGAACACCATTTATCTTGACACCATTTACGAATGTTTTTGCAAATCCAACGATTGTTAATGCATCAACTAAAACTTGTCGTCCAGATGGACATTGTATGTTTGCTTATACAATTGATATTTATGATACAACATTAAGACCATTTGATCAAGCAGTGCCTGGATGTACAACAAAAGCAGCAACAAAATTTTTAACTTATAATGGTTTAATACCAGGACCAACACTTCGTGTTGCTGCAGGACATGAATCAATTGTTCGATTCAATAATAAAAT